CTTCCTGCCCTTAGACACATACAGGGAGAAGAAAAAGAAGGAAATAATTAAAAGGGGGGCTCTGGAGTCTATAAAGGAGCGATAAAGGAGTCTATAAAAATATACCCCCTTCCATGGACATCCAGCTTTGGGGCCCCTTTTCCTCAAAGAAGTCTGTCTCTATAATTTTTTTCATTAAACTTGTTTTCTGCGCTTGCTTCAGTGTTTCTCAGTGTTTAATCTTCAACACTGGGGAACAAGGACGTGTTCCTCATCTCCAAGACAGGTATCACTCCTACTTGAGGAGTAAATAATTTAGATATTAGAGGTCTTGGGGAGAAGTATTTGTAATTTTTTTTTTCTTCAGAGCTATCCCCAGATTTTGAAAAGACAAGGACCTAAATCCAAGGTTCAAACAACTGCGGATCAATCAAGAGATGTTAGCCCTGACTCCCAGCAAGAAGAGGAGCCTTGGAAGGATGAGGGGAAAGAAGATGGCCCAGAGAGACCCAATGGTGAAGCTACCCTCGTGGAAGCTGTTGAAGAATCTGACTCTGCAGGCTGAGCAGATGATCCAACAGCAAGGAAGACCTCCAGCTATGATGCTTATAGCTCTGTTGAGCTGCCAGATGTCATGCCTTCAGAACAAGAATTCAGGAACTTGTGATAGTGACTCATCACTTACTTTTTCAAAGAAAGAAGGGAGCCGCTCTGGAAATACACACCTTCAAGTTCTGAGCAAGAGATACTAAACAATAATTGCGCCCTGTACCTCCTCTTAGATAATGAGGTGTGGCACCAGGAGTTGGCATTACCTGGTGGGATTGAGTTACATTAACCTGTTCCTTTGTAATCCTACCCCTTTGCCCTTTTTGGGATATAATGTTCCATGGAACCTCCCCTTGTGTGTCCCCTATATAAGAATAAAGAATTCCTGCCGCAGTCTGGCTGGGCACAAAAATAACTGGGAAGTCACGAGCCACTTGTAGGTTCAAACAGGAACTACTTTGTTGCCCGAACTCCATGGGAGCTCAACCGGAACTCCGAGAGAACTCAAAAGTAGCGGGCACCCGAGGTAGCAGGAGTCGCCTAATTGCCGGACAGCAGAGGTTTATATACACAACTGAATACACAGCTTGTTTCAACTTAGCATCATCCAGTAACAGCAATCAGTCATTATCTTAATAATTATACACAGCTTAACTTAATTATCATCATCTTAATGGCTCGCTGGCATTACTTCTCAACCACTCCTTCTGGCAAAATGCCAGGCACCATCTTGACTCGGTTGTGGCTCTCAACAAATTCCAATGACTCTCTCTCTTTTCACGGGACCCTAAGGTCACAGGGCCTTTCCTGGATTTTGAAAAGGTGAAAAAAAAATAAAAAGAAAAAGAAAAGAAAAAAGAACTGTTTGTAGAGGCTTCCTCTAGAAGAAAACTTCCCATGCAGAACTATCAAACTATTTTAAGAAACTTACATTTAATTGTTGGGTTGTACAATCTGATGTCAGACTGAAGTTTAAGTGTTGAGTCTGAAGGCTCTATTAGGATAGCAGAGATAATGGTGGGCTACTCCAGCATCTACATGTTCCCGCAACCCACCCACCCTCCAGGCCAAACAGCACAGATATCCTCCCCAACACTATTCTCAGTCACTAATTGGAGATGACCATGGCACATGATGAAAGGCTTGAAGAAATAGATTTAATCAACTGCATTTACTGAGCGCCCCCAAAATTCAAGATACTGAATTAGGAACTTCAAGGCATACCAGTCATTAGAGAAGTGATGCTAGAGGCATGGCTAAGCTATAATCTGAATAATTATGTGCATTTAGGTGGCTTTCTGAAAAAAAAATAAATGTTTCCTTTCCATAAATAGATAGGCAAACACATATTAAAGCGATCTATACTGAATTCTCTGGAGATATATCTTAGTCTCTTTTTCATATAAATTTTGTTTTTAAAAATGTAGAGTGCTTGGGGAGACTGCTTTTATAATATAAAACCTCTTAGGGAAATGGTTCTTGAATTGCTTATCATCTTGAGAATTCTTCACAGTCTAGCTATTTTCATTCAGGGCATGGAAAGTATAAATAGTCAAGGGATCAGGATTGATTTATTTTATATGGCAGTGTGGGTGATGTGTAGAAAAGGATTCAGTACATGAATAAATAAATTACAGAGAAGGGGAGATTTAATACACTAGTGGTAATGCCATAAAACAACTAATTAAATCATCTCCAAAAGTGCCGTTTTCAGGTGAGAAGAAACTATCCCAGATAAAGGAGAAGAAACTATCCCAGATAAGAACATGCAGAGAGAAGTGGAGTGTTTGCAAGCTCAGTTCAGTATGGTAAAATTGTTAAATATCAAGGCTCAGATGATTTTATCTCAATAAACTTGTGTCTTTATGGCCTCAAAATACATTTGTTTCAGCTGGGTATGGTGCTGCATGCCTGTAATCCTAGTAGTTTCAGAGGCTGAGACAGAAAGATTATAAATTTGAGACCAGCCTCTGCAATTTAGTGAGATTTTCAGCAACATAGTGAGATCCTGTCTCAAACTGTAAAAACGGCCAGAGACATAGCTCTGTGGTAAAACACCCCGGGGTTCAATCTTCAGTATCCACCCCCAACCACCACCAAAAAAATTGTGTTTTATTTTGATGTTTGCATTTTAAAGATTTATTATTTTTGGCATTGCTTTAGGATTTCAAAAGATCAAAATAATTAACATTTGTAAGAGTTAAAAATGACATGTCCAATTAGAAGTGTATTTATCATTAAATCATTTGGTTCTGTTCAGTTATTTATCATTGACATTAATCTTTTTTTGTAACCCCAACCTTTAAATTTTGATGTAGGAAAAGCGATGAATATAGTCCATAGAATACCATGATAATTTAGCTGAAAAGCTCTTTCTGTTTTTAAATTCATCTGTTATCATGATAGTTAAGACAACTAAAAAAAAATTACATTCAGAGGCCTGACTTCGAATATGAATTTTCTCTTTATAGTGTATGTTAAGGGATAATTTGTGAATGAGTGTTGAAGTTGAACAATGAAATGATTTGATATTATGAAATTTTAATTTGTGTGTTTTAGATGTATGGATTTTGACAACTCTTGCCATTGATTATGTCATTAATCTGCATAAATAAGGAAAATTTTATAATAGATTGTTCCAAAATCATATGAATGTGAATAAATTTCTAATAAACATAACAGTCATTTCTTTCAGTTGTTTGTGAACCTTTCTAACATGCATAATTTTAGCAGCTGAATTCCACTCCTTGTTCTAATATATTCAAGTGTGCCTTTTACTTTCTGTTCAGCTGACCCTCTCTGCTAAGAATATTTTGTCTCATTTCTTTTTCTCTTTTTAAGACCTACTTTAGAATTCAAATTCCTCCTGTATACTTCATTAGATATTATAACAAACCAGTTTTATTTGCCCTTATATGTCTATTTTTATTTGTGTATATGCTTTCCTAATCATAATGTATGCTTTGCAGGTTGCAAGTAATTACATGCACTATCATATAATGCCATGCCTATCATGAAACTGTAAATATTTTATGCATGTGATGATGAAGATATGCAGGAAGAAACTTTTCCCTGGAGATATCATTAACTTAAATACTAGATCCAATGTACTAGCTGTACAAACACAATTTTATTTCTTAATTTCACTGTCTCAATATATGCTAGATGTAGAAAATAACTATTTATTAATATCTCTTTAGTTGCCTGTTAGTTGGACATTTGAATATTCTCACGACAGGAAACTGCATACCTGCCTATAATTTGTGTCAGTCCTGTTTTGTGTTTGAATGTTTTTGAATTTATCAACTATTGCTTTTATTTTTAGGCCAGGGCTGAACTCAAAATTGTTCATGTTTTCAATCTCTAATTTAGACAAAGAACAAAAATGTAACTAAAATAACTAGAAGCATATGGAGATAAATTTTATTAGTGAACCTGTCTCCCTTATGATATTCATTTACTAATTTATATATGTCTATCTTAAATTTTTTTTCCCATTATATTTACTAATTATCTTAGGATAATTAAGCTCATTATCTTATTCCTAAAACTCCTTCTTATGTGTCTAGGTTTAAGTTTAGTTTTCTTTTCACTTCTCCTGGTTCACCGAGCTTCCTAAATCTACATGTATGTATTGCTCTTTGTCTGTATATTCAGGTGTCTCACTATTCAGTTTCCTTGGTCCATTCCCAGAACCACAATCCCAGAGGAGAACTGCAGTGGCTTACTACACACACTATCAGAGAGTTCCTATTGATTTGGTATTGGGGTACAGAGCAGGAAGGTTGGGGAGACCACAGATAATGAGACAATGCCAATACTAAGAGTAAATGGAATTATTTCCTGTGCATCATTTTGAACCTGGGTCTCAACTGTGGAAGTAAATGAGAAAAGAATTATGCACTTAAGATTGTTTGGTTGAATGTAATAGTGAACATCTCCTAGTCCTGTAGATGGAACTACAAGACTGTGTGTGTCTGTGTCTCTGTGTTTGTCTTAAGTAAAAGAGTACTCTTGCATTTCATTTGGTAGGCATAACTTTATTTTGTTATGCAAAATTCTTGAACTTTATTGAGTTGAACTTCTTTAATTGAACAGGAAAATGAGATGCCATTCCAAATCTTGTGTGTTCTCAAGAAAGCAAAAACATTTTTCTCTCTTTAAATTCTTTTAATTTTGTTTTATAAAATTTCCTTGTGTTCACATAAACAGAATGAACAGTTACTACCCTTATATGGATTATTCTTCAGTACAATTGCAAATTGATGTATGCATTCTCGGCCTGCAATTTGAAAATACAAACTATTATTCTTCCTGACAGAATCATCTTTAATACAGCAATGAAGATTATTTTGCTCTCCATGAAAAACCACTGTTAATGTCACCTCTACACTAGTTATTGCTGTTATTTTTCTGTAGAGATTATTATTATTTGTTTTCTATCCAGAACTGGTAAATGTCAGAGCACCATAATGCAAAACTACACAAAACTGACAGTGTTCATCCTGGCAGGTTTGACTGATGACCCAGAATTGAAAGTTGTGTTATTTGTCTTCCTGTTTCTTACCTACTTGCTGAGCGTCACTGGCAATCTGACCATCATCACACTTACCCTGGTAGATACGGACCTGAAGACCCCCATGTATTTTTTCCTTCGGAATTTCTCCTTCTTAGAAATTTCCTATACTACTACATGCATCCCTAAATTGCTGGCTATTATGGCAACTGGGGACAAGACCATTTCCTATGCCAGTTGTGTTACTCAAGTGTTTTTTGCCTTCCTACTTGGAGCATCAGAATTTTACTTGTTGGCAGCTATGTCCTATGACCGCTATGTGGCCATCTGTAAGCCCCTTCATTACATGACCATCATGAACAGCAAAATCTGCATTCAGCTGGTCCTCAGTTGTTGGCTTGCTGGCTTTTTTGTCATCTTCCCACCACTCGTCCTAGGTCTAAATATTGACTTCTGTGCCTCCAACGTTATTGATCATTTCTACTGTGACACTACACCCCTCATGCAGATCTCCTGCACAGACACACGGCTCCTGGAGATGATGGGATTCATCTCAGCTTTGGTGACACTCTTGGTCACATTAGTCATGGTGATAATATCCTACACCTATATCGCCCTGACCATTCTAAGAATCCCTTCAACTAGTCAGAGGAAAAAGGCTTTTTCCACATGTTCTTCTCACATGATCGTGATATCCCTTTCCTATGGCAGCTGCATCTTCATGTATCTTAAACCTTCAATCAAACAAAGAATATCTTTTTCCAAGGGAATTGCTGTCCTCAATACCTCAGTAGCTCCACTTTTGAACCCTTTCATCTATACCTTACGGAATCAACAAGTGAAAAAAGCCTTTTTAAATTTGATACACAGGATTGTGTCTTTTTCAAAGAAATGAATATTCTACTTCTTTATTCAAAGGATATGAATAAAGGAGGCTCAGGTAGTTTCAACAGTTTCTAAGAGATCATTTCTCCCTTTTCTATTTATTTCATTGCTTTGATATTCATCTTTATGTCTTTCAAAAAATATTTTTTTTTCTTAAAACTTTGGTCTGAAATGGTAGCCTCGCTTTGAATCTCCATTAAAACTCCCTTTTGTTTTGACTTTGTTTTCCCTGTTCTCTTAGCTTTCTTTGTATTAACATGTGAAAATCGTAAGCTTCTACTTTCAATATGTCTCTTTTGTCTTTTAAGAATGACAGTTATGTAGACTATAAAATATTGTTCCATTTGAAATTGCATTTGATATATGACCTATTAAAAACAATGTAGAAGTAATATTTATTTTTTATGCTTCTAATTAATTGATGTATATTGTAACTGAATAAATTAAAAGAAAATTGTAGTAGAGTTTTTGATGTTCATCTTTGAGCACTGTTTATCTTTGAAGTATATATTTAAATATTTTAGATATTTGTGTATATATATTCACACATATTCATGTATATGTGCATATACTGTAAAGTAACAATCCTTAGTTTTTAGATGTAAGATGTTACGTTTATAATGATTTTCATCAAAGAAAATGTGATAATCTTACTAATTTGGTTTTGAAAATCAATATTGAAATGTAATACTTATTTGAAATTCTCAAACTCCCCAAACTTCCTCTGCTTAAGTTGGGATACACCTAAATCAAATTCCAAATGATTTGTGAATAATTTTGAAATAAGAACAATGCTAATTCTTTTTGTTTTCAAATATTATTTGTTTGACATATATGTCAGATCTAGGTGTATATAGTACAGATATGCAGATTGATATAGACATACTTCCTGCCAGTGAAACTAAGATGGTAGAAGCTTCAAGTTCTAGCTTAGAAAATTCCTAGTTTAGGGCTGAATTTATTAGGTCTGTGAAATTTAAATTTTGTGTAATAAACAAAATTTTTAATGAATCAAATATAATAGTATTTTCAAAGGTATGCATCCAATTTCATGATTTTTTCCATATATTAAAAATATTGTATATTAGATCAGATTGTCCTTTTTTTCATTTCAGTTTTTAAAACTGTGTATATTGGTTGGAACAAAATATATTTGAAAATAGCACCCAAAGGGATGGTATAAAATATAACCAGGGAGAAAAATAAACATAATATATAATTAGACAATTATAGAAGTTTCTGTAGATTTGTAGAATGAGTTGAATTGTAGAAAATATATAGATTATAAACATGATTTCAGGACAAAAAATATTTAAACAATTGATTATAAATTGTTTATAGTCTTCCTTTTTATTTATGTATACATGTTTTTTTTCTAACCTGCCAATTTATACCTAATGATCTTTGAGAATTATTTAATGCTTACAAATATTAACAGCACACAAATTATATATGTGCGCACACACATATATGTACATATATATACACCCATATGTGTAAATATTTTGTGGCAATGTAATAAAAGTAAAACCTAAGGTATTATCAATAGATTCAGCAATTTTGATTCTGTTATGTATCAGTGAGGACCAATTTGCTTAAAGCAATATCGTGCTATTTAAACTGCTTGGCTACCTGTCATTTATTTTGAAATACTTCATATAATAACATTTCTGAGCCCTCTAAGTAGCCAGTTCAAATATCACTTTTCTTAAGTACCTGTTTTTTTCATTTCAAGGTAGAGTTATCACTAAGTCCTCTGTGCTACTTCATTCATAGTTTGTTTAATATATAATTTTTTAGTATCTCAGTGGCACCTGTCCCTCAAAAGTCATTCTAATTTACCAGTTGATTTACCCATAAAATTAACTATTTGAATTAACATCTTTCAAATTAACATCTTTCAAAATAGATTCTAAGAGTTATATACTTCCATTTTGATTATGCGTACAGCCATGTTTTATTCACTCATCAAACTAACCTTTCTGAATTGAAAGAAAATATTTAAAGTGAAAGACCTTTATTTGTTATTCAAAAGAAAACGGTAAAAAAAGAGGTACTTTGGATTAGGCATAGAGGAGTGAAGGGAGGGGAGGGAGTAGCGGGGTAGAAAAGACAGTAGAATGAACCAGACATTATTACCCTATTGCATATATGACCACTGACCAGTGTGATTCTATATCATGTACAACCAGAAAAACGAGAAGTTATACTCCATTTAAGTATAATGTGTCAAAATGTATTCATGTATAACTAGAACAGATTATATATATATATATGAATAAAAAAGAAAATATAGATAAAATTTTATAAGAAAATTTGCATACATATATATGATATCATAACTAAAAAAAGAAAAGTGTCAGAATGTTCATTATTATCTCAAAACAAATATCTTAAAAGTTGGGTCAGTTAAATAGTAATACAAATTCCCTTATGCATTAAATAAATAATTTTATTTGTACTTTTTAATGGAAATATTTCTTCAATAATTTTACTAAGTCAATAAATAAGTTATTTAACATTATGTTGGCATTAGTCTATGATTACACCCTTTAAAAACTCATTATTATTTACACATAAAATAAACTTTACACAAAATTTTGAAATTTTTTTCTGGGTAATCCAAAAGATAATTTTCTAAATTTTATATTACTTACCCTTATTGTTCTCTTTCCCAAAACATGTCATAATTCCTATATTCAGATATTCATACAAATTTATATTCATTTTCTAAAGTTGGCCATTACTTGAAATTTTTAGTAACAAATTCTCTGTTTACTAACTTACTTATTGAGGTAATTTTACAGTCTATTCACAATATTATTTATTCAAAGCTGAATTGGTATTTCTATTGTGGTCAAATACTTGAAGTATTCTGGTTTTTGTATTAGAGTGATAGATATCTCAGAGAACATGAACTTGCAAGTATTCCCTGTACTTCTATTTTTTTCAAAGAGTTAAAGAATTGGTATTAATTCTTCCTTGAGTTTTCGTAGAATTTATCTTCAAAACCGTCTTATCTTGGGCCTTTCTTTTTTGGGGGAAATTTTGATCACTACTTCAGTTTTATTTGTAATTAGTCTGTTCAGGCTATTCTTTATTCAGTCTTGGTAGAGTATATATTACTAGGAATGTGTCCATTTCCTCTAGGTTATTCAATTTTTTTGGCATGAATTTTTCATAGTAGTCTATTATGATTCTATTATTTTTGAAGCATCTGTCATAATATTTCCTCTTTCATTTCTGATTTCATTAATTTTAATTTTCTCTCCTTTTATTTTTTATTTGACTGGGCTAGGATTTTTGATTTTGTACTTTGAAGAAAATATCTCTTGTTTGATAAAGTAAAAAATCATACACATTCTCTGAAGGTAGGGAAAAAACAACAAATCTTTGTTTGTGATTCAATAGAATTATTCTTTATAAAATTATGAAGGTTCTCACTTATTTTACTAAAAGTTTAATAAAAGTTCAATAAAAATACCAACAAGATTTTCCTTATGGATATAGGTAGAACACATTTTTTGAAGAAATAATAAAGCAACTATGGCCTAAAGAATTTGTTAAGAAAATAAAACCTACAAGAAACTACAATAATCAGGCATTAAATATTTAATGAAAATATCAAGTTGTAGAAGTATTAGTAATTACATAAAGTGGAATAGAATGAAAAGATTGATATAGACTATATTATATGTGAAATATATGAACTTTTAAATGTGTATTACTGGGCAAATTTTTACATAATTGGAAAGATAAAAAGATAGGTCATTTCTTAAATCATACCTAAAAATTGACTGCAAATGATTTATTGATCTAAATATAAAAATTGAAAATAAACAGTATTAAAAGAAAATGTGGGTGAATTTATTTTTGAATATTTAACTGATACATATAACATTAAGATTATATTTATGGAATATGATGTGAAGTTTTGGTGTGTACAGTTTGAATTATTTAAGTAAGGGTAAACGTATATCTCCTCAAATATTTTTCATTTCTTCATGATGAAAACATTCAATATCCTTTCTTTCAGTTGTTTGAAATATACAGTGCTTTTTTGTCTTCTGTATTCACCATACTGTGCAACAGCAAATAACTTCTTACTCCTATCTAAATGTATCTTAATTCCCAATGATTAAACAGTCCCCATCTCTCCTTCTTCCTTCTTGTGCCTTGTTCTGTTAACTATCATTCTACTCTTAGTTTTCATGAAACAAACGTTTTCAGATTCCGTATGAGTGATATCATGTAGTACTTGCCTAGCTTTTTCCACTTAACATAATAATCTCCAATTCCATCCATGCTTTTTCAAATGACAAAATTTCACTTTTTCCCCATGAGGTTGTGTAGTATACTGGTGTGACACGGTACCTCATCTCCCCTTCCCCCCTCCCTCTTTCCTTCCTTTTTTTGTACCCAGGGATAGAACTCAAGGGCACTTAATCACTGAGCCAGGTCCCCAGGCCTTTTTTCTTTTTTGTATTTTATATAGAGACAAGGTCTCACTGAGTTGCTTATGGACTCTCTAAGTTTCTGAGGCTGCTTTGGACTCTGGATCTTCCTGACTCAAACTCCTGAGCCACTGGATTATAGGCGTGTGCTACCAGGCCAGGCTGTACCACATTTCCTTTATCATCCATCAGTTAATGAACACTTAGATTGTTTTCATCTCTTGGCTAATTTGAATAGTCTGCAATAAACATAGGAGTACAGATGTTCCTTTGATATACTGATTTCATTTCCTCTGAATATGTAATCATAGTGGGATTACTGGAGAGTATGACAATTCTATTTCTAATTTTTGAGGAACCTTCATACTGTTTTCCATGTTGTTGTTAATTCACATTCCCACCAACATGTGCAAGTGTAATGTTTTCTCCACATCTGCACTACCACTTGGTGTCTTTTGTCTTTCTGATGATAGTCACTTTTATTGGAGTGAGGTGATACTGTGTTTTTTATTTGCAATTCCCTGATAACTAGTCACACTGTGGATTTTCTCATATT